GGTCAATGAGGGAGTGCATGTGGAATTGCTTTATAAACTGGAAACCGTCCTATGAAAATATTTTTATTACAAATTCTTTTGGATGAAGATAACTAGAATATTAGACTAAGAAACCATTCTGGGAAACTGAATTATTTATAAACTTATTTTATTTAGAAACTGAAAGTTTTGATTAGTTTTTTTCTTTAAATCTCCTTTCAAAGACTAGATCATAAGTTTACAGGACCTATTAAATATGAGTGAGCTGGGATATATGTTTTCAACTCAGCATCTTCCCAGGCCCTTTGTACTCTTTCTGGAACAGGGACTAGATGTTTGGAACTACATTTCCCAGAATGCCTTGCAAGCAGAGCTTCTGGTTAGAATCAGCACACATGGGGATGGGAAAGACAGAAGAATTAGAGGACATCGTTCTTTGGTAGCAGTGACAGGGTGAGGACAGATCGTTTTTGTGAAGCTTGCTAGAGCTTCCGGAATCTCACATTTTTGTGTGGCATCCCCGCAATCTTGTATTTATGAATTTATAGCAAAACAGCATATCTTTTCCTCAATTTTTAGTTCCATGGTCCCCTTAAATTTTTTTTAAAGCTTTCGAGAAAAAGTTTATCAGAGAAAGAAGGGCAAAAAGAAATGGAGACATGCCAGAGCTGGCATCGGCAAAATAAACTGCTGCTTTTTATATTTAGAAATAATTATAGACTCATAGGGAGGTGTAAAAAAAGTTGCCAAAACAACTATCTTAATTATATCATCTTTGATAACTTATATTTTTGATATATTATCTTTGATAGTTTATATCATCATTGATAACATAATATATATGTATTTATATTATATATGTACTATGTATATATATATATATAATATAAAAACCAGAAACTGTCATCAGAATAATAGTATTAACTAGACTACAGACCTTATTCAGTTTTCACCAGTTTTTACACAGATTAATTTGTGTGTTGTGTAGTTCAGTATAGTTCAATATAATGTGATCCCATGTATCGATTCTCTACAGTTCTTTCAATAGTTCCTTAAGGCTTCAATTTCTTTTCTTAATTCCCTATCTAGAGTGATGCTTATTTTTCTAACTGAATGCTGACTGATATGATTAATAATTTCCTGGTTTTATCTTACATCTGGAGTCTGGCAGTCAAATTTTGTTGCTTACATTCCATTATGTTCATTCATTTATTCATCTAAAATAGCGTTAACTGGTATTCTTTCACTTGTCCTTTTTTTGCTATTGTCTTTCTCACAGGATGACAAAAGCATCACAAAAGATTTTTATCTCTCTTTTTTTTTTTAAAGAAAAGGTTTTGTTCTGTTGCCCAGGCTGGAGTACAGTAATGTGATCAAAGCTCACTGCAGCCTCAGTCTCCTGGGCTCAAACAACCCTCCTGCCTCAGTCTCCCAAGTGCTGGGACTACAGGTGTGTGCTGCCACATTCAGCTAAATTTTTAATTTTGTTGTAGAGATGGGGTCTCGCTAGTTGACCAGGTTGGATATTGAGCTCCTGGCCTCAAGCCATCTCTCGAAGTGCTGAGATCACAGGTGTGAGCCACTGCATCTAAATTTATAGGGCTTTTGATTGTTCCATTTTCAAATTCATTCTTACCAATGTAGATTTTAAAATGCAATACTATTTAGATCATTCTTTTTTTTTTTTTTTTTTTAGGTGGAGTCTCACTCTCTGTCACTCAGGCTGGAGTGCTGTGACACACTCACGGCCACCCCAGCGTCGACCTGCTGGGCTCCAGCAATCCTTCCACCTCAGCCTTCCAAGTAGCCAGAACTACAGGTGTGCATTACCACGCCTGGCTAATTTTTTATTTATTGTAGAGACGAGATCTTGCCAAGTTGCCCGAGCTGGTCTCGAACCCACGGGTTCAGGCAATCCACTTATCTAGGCCTCCCAAAGTGCTGGGATTATAGTAAATCATTCTCAAATAATGATAAAATGATTTCTATATGATAAGGTGGGAAATAAAAAACAACAGATATAGCTACTGGATAGGAGGAGGCAAAGTTATCATTATTGATAGATAATAAAATTGTACACTGAAACAAAACAAGTAAATTTTTAAAAGCATTGTTAGAAATAATATATGTCTAGTAGGGCTGATAGAGACAAAAAAATGCACAAAAAATAGATTTATTCAAAAGAATAAGATAGAGAATATAACATTTAAAAATCCTCTAAAATCTAAAATGGTGCTTGTTTCTCTTCAGAGAAAGGAGAGTTTGGTCTCTCTCTAATTCTGGGCTGTTTTCTCACCCAAACCCTTAATCAGCCCAGCTTGTGGGCAGAGACTCTCAAAATTTTGGTACATGTATTTTTCCCACATTTCATTCTTACCTCTGACTCACTAATCCCAAGTTATCAAAATCTGGTCTGAAGAAGCCAAGGGAAATCAACATTGTGACATGCCCTTTGTCTCTTCCCAATTAAGACAAATTTCCTCTCAAAATATCTTAGTCTGCAGAGATGACCCCAGGTTCTAACTTAATTTTTTTTACATCATTTTCCCAAGACAGTGTAACAACTTGAAACCACATACTTCAGAAGATGATCTTTGCTTTACATACACCAATTAATTGCCTTTCCCAGCATAAATGGGCTATCTGTCTCTCTCAACAAATGGGAATAAGAACAGAGTTATGGCTAGCATTCATTAGGTACTAGCAAAGTTCATTGATTCTTCTGGATATTAACTTAATTAATCCTCACTACTATATGGATAGAAAATTTAGGTCACTTAAATGGAATCTCAAGATTTCCAAGAAAAGAACCAGGTGGTAAATCTTCAAGTCCTTTCTCAATGCCACCACAGTATGTTTTTTCTTGTGGTGACAATATTTTTTTTTCCAAGAAGATTTTAAAACATTAGAGTCTGAGAATCAGCCTGGACCCACTGGACATGTATAAGCCTTAATGAGCTGCATTGGCTGCATCAACACAATCTGTCTAATTTACAGTCAACTTGTAGAAAAATACCAGGAAAGTGAGTGGCACTGGTGGCACTATGTAATGACAAAAAATGTGAAAGTGACATGGGAATGCTGATATTTGGGAGACCAGACATAGTGGAAGTCCCAAGTATATTTCCCTGACTTGATGGAAATCTTGTCATGAGGGAGCTTTGGGTTTGCCTCCAAAGTGAAGTTAATTCTTTAGAACTTTAGCATGTTAATAAAAGCAACAAAAGTTTCATCACTCTCAAAGGTATAATTTAGAAGACTCTTTCCCCAATAATAGTTGTCCTTTGAAGACTGGAAATTGCCTTCTAGTTCTATTTTAAGATTTTTATTGAAAACATTCAAATGCAGGCCTAGCTTCAAAGCATAGTTTGTAATCAAGAAGCATTTCCTGGTTTACATTGGTCAATTAATGATTATATTGATTCAAAAGAAGGAAGAGTCCCCAAATCTCAGTGATTGCCGTTATTAATAAATAGATGCATCCTCTGTGTAAACAGTTAAACCAAAATGAGTCTCAAAAGAACCCAGTCTTGAGCTCTTCAACTTTCCAATCTTCTTGCTTTATGATCATCAGCATTTTCTCCTCCCAATTTTTCAGTTCCTCATTTTCCATCATGACCATGCTGTCTCAGCAAGCCTGCATTAATTGCACTTGTACCTCTTGTCTTAATCAACAATGAAGCTTTCACTTAGATGGTAGATTATTTAGGATAAGGGTATTTACTGAGGATGGCTTGTTTAGCCAGAGAGCACATAACAGCTCTTTTGGAGATTGCAAACGTAATCTGTCACATATAATTTGAGAGATAAGTATGTAGCCAAAAATAAAGAAAATAGAAAGAGGAAAATAAAGAAAGACGAAAGGAAGAGTGGAAGGAGGAAAAGAAGGAAGAAGAAAGAGGAAGGAAAAAATGACAGGAAAAGTAAAAAGGAGAAAGAGAGTGAAAGCAAAAGGGGGAGAAAAAAGCAGAGGAGGGAAGCAAAGCAAAAAGATCCTATAACAGCGAAGAAAACTGACTTGAACTATGAATTTTTTTCCTAGGGGATTATCTACAGTTTTGGATGTACCATATCATGCCATTCTTCCATGATGCAGCAACTAATAAACTGATTTAACAAGACTCAACTGTAGCTAAGATTGACACTTGGAAGTGCCATTTTTGTATAAAGTGACCATCTGTCCTGGTTTACCTTGAAACTGATTTCCGAGGTGTGGGATTTTTGGTTTTATAACAAGGATATTTCAGTTTCAAATTAAGGAGTTTTCCAGGGCATGAGACTTTCAGTGCTAAAACCAAAAACCGTCCCCGGCAAACCAGGAAACGTTAACCATTTTGTCCTGGACTGAAACAGTAAAATTGTACCCTTTATGTTCTTTGAGCAGAGTGCAGGGAGCTCTTCCGCCAATGTTAGTCCATTTTCCATGTGCTAGGATCTGTGTTATGTTGTGCACACGTTGTGGACATCCTATTTTTTCTGCCTGCTCAGCACCCCAATATTCTTTTGGCAACTCTTCTCCTGTCTTTCGTGGTTCTAGTTGGGCTGTTGTATATAGTGCTCTTCAGGCCTGCTGCCTTCCCAGAGGTGAACAAGTCACCCAAGTTGGGCTAAGCATAGCAAGCTTTCTGACACCTCTAGCACCTCTAGCAGCAGTGATTAGTTGAGGAATGAGGATGAGTACCGAACCCAAGGAAGAAGACCTTTGGGTCTAAAACCTAAAAATCTCAGAATGTGTCTTTTCTTTAGTATTTATTGAATGTAAGAGTATTACAATTCAGGATTATCTGTTAATTTTAATTTATGCTACAGAAACAACGTATCTTGTTAGAGCATGGATAATAGTCTACAGTATATGTCTTTAGTATTATCTGCTGAGCATCTCTTTTCCATGAATTTTCTTCCCTTATCTGCAGCATGGTAGGTTCTAGTCATCAGCTAATGCTGCAGCATAATAAACAACTCCCCAATCTCAGTGGCTTAAAACAACAAACATTTTTTTTTCTTACTCATTGAAGCTATGAAGTTTGCCCAAGATCACACAGCTGGTAAATGAAGAAGCTGAAATCCATTGATTCAATAGATACCATCGAGCAGCTTCTCCTAAATGCCAAGCACAATGAAGCAGCTGCTAAACAACCTAACCAAAGACTATTTATGTCAGCTGATGATGTTAAAAAAACTCTGAAGAGTCAGTCAAAAAGAGGGAACATATGACACAGGAAAATACAGTCATCTGGTAAGTCAAGGGTGTGACATTTGCCAGGATTTGGAGGATATAGATTACACTGGCCAGAATAGTAGCCATAGTGGTATCATAGCAAGACTAATTAGAGAAAGCAAATACAAAGGTATTCCAAATGGAAGCAGGTATTGCATTTCTAATTTCATTTGAGAGAGAGAAAAGGAAGAAAAGGAAACATTTGAAACCATTTTTTGAGTGTCTATCCTGAATCAGGTATTGCCACATGAAGAAAACCCATATAGCAATCTTTAGAGGCAAATGTATCGCATTTCTTTTTTTTTTTTTGAGTTGGAGTCTTACTCTGTCACCCAGACTGGAGTGCAGTGACACGCTCCCGGCCACCACAGCCTCGACCTGCTGGGCTCCGGCGATCCTTCCGTCTCAGCCTTCCAAGTAGCCGGAACTACAGGCGCGTGCTACCATGCCCGGCTCATTTTGGTTTATTGTAGAGATGAGGTCTTGCCAAGTTGCCCAGGCGGGTCTTGAACCTGCGGGTTCAGGCAATCCACTCACCTCCCAAAGGCGCGGGATTACAGGCTGAGCCACCGAGCCCGGCTGTGTATCACATTTCACATAGCACATCTTTCTGCATATCACTTTCTGTATGTCTAATGCAAAGATAGTGTTATTTCTTTCTTAGTATTTTCTTAGTTGGAGCCTAACACATTGCAGGCTTTTGAAGAACGGTAATTTTCGTGGAACATTCAGTAAATTGCTTTCCAATGTCCATTTTGCCATTTTTCTTACCAAGAGAGATCTCATTTGTCTGGAGAGGCAATGTAACCAGGCAAATACCTGCCTTCCCAGAAGCTTTTGTGGTCATTGAAGGTCATGTGATCTAACTAGTTAAGTCAATGATAGGTAAGGAGAGGTTGATGGACGAAATTGCTGAGAAAGCTCCCTCATGAAGAAAGACTTAGCTGGTATCTCCTGTTCAGATTTTGTTCTTTGTAGCTTGCCATGGATCAGAATGAGTCATTGAGGTAGAGTAGATATCTATTGTATATTGCAATAGAGAGTGTTGCATACCAAGATGGAGGAGAAGAAACCTGGATCTCTGAGGACAGTGAAGCTGCTATGGGCTGAATGTTTGTGTCCCTCCAAATTTATGTGTTGAAACTCTAATCTCCAATGTGATAGTATTAGGAGATGAGTCTTTTGGGAGGTAATTAGGTCATGAGGGTAGAGTCCTCATGATGGGATTAGTGCCCTTATAAAAAGAGACAGAAGAGTTCTTTCTTCCTCTCTCTGCATTGTAGGACACAGTAAGAAGATGACCATCTGCAAACCAAGAAAAGCAGAACCTCATCAGACATGGTTCTACCAGTACTTTGATTGTGTACTTCCCAGCCTCCAGAACTGTGAGGAAAAAATGTCTGTTGTTTAAGTCACTCAGTCTATGTTATCTTGTTATGTAGCCAGAACTGAATAAGGCAGAAGCCATTGTACCAACCCTTGATGGCATATCTCAAAACTAACTTCTTTTTAGGTGAGAAAAATAAACCACTACTTGGCCAGCTTCTTGAAGTTGGGTTTCTGTTGCATAAAGTCAAACACATTTCCTAAACGACACAGCTCTCTTACTTACATTTCCATTCTAGTCTCAATATGGAATACTTTTGGATTTGTGTATAATACTTCATTGTTACAAAAGATTTGGCTTCTTTTTTGAGCACATTTTCTGGAATTGTTTATTTTTATTTTTAGATGAGGCATCATTTGGCTACAGTATAACAAAATTCTGCTTGAACAAAACAGCAATAAAATGTGTCCGAAAAAAAAAGAAAACTCACACACAATCATTATAACCTACAGAAACAGATCCACCTGGCTGAGTGACTAAAGTGGGCTCCATCTTGCCAAACATGGTAATATCAGACGTAGCACAGAAATCAAAACTTAAAATAAAAAAATCATCAAAGGAAGAGATACAACTATAGAATTAATGGGGCATCTTTTAAGGTTTGCAATCATTAATCCTATAAAAGTAGCAGAAGCAGCCGGGCTCGGTGGCTCAGCCTGTAATCCCGTGCCTTTGGGAGGCTGAGGTGAGTGGATTGCCTGAGCCTGCAGGTTCGAGAGCCGCCTGGGCAGCGAGATCTCATCTCTACAATAAATCAAAAAAAATCAGCCGGGCGTGGTATCACATGCCTGTAATTCCGGCTTCTCCGAAGGCTGAGGTGGAAGGATCACCAGAGCCCAGCAGGCGAGGCTGCGGTGGCCGGGAGCGGCCACTGCATTCCAGTCTGGGCGACTGAGTGAGACTCCAACTCAAAAAAAAAAAAAAAAAGTAGCAGAAGCTTGGCAGAAAAAAAGCACAAAAGGCAGAGAATCCAGGTTCAAATTCCCATTGAACCTCTTACCAGCTGAATGATTTTGGGTAAATCTCACCTTTCCAGGTTTTAGTTGTCCATACTGAAAAATCATGATCATGATGATGATTATCATAGTACCTACTTAGAGAGTTTATTTAAGGTGTAAGCAAGGGGATGTACGCGCAAGCACTTCATGAACAATAATATATTATGCAAGCTTTTGTTACTATTAAGAAGTGAAAAGACAAGTCAAATGTGAAACAGCACTGGGTGTGTCCAGTTGCTGTCTGGCACCAATGTGTGGTCGGTGGGTTGGACGGGTGAAACTGAGAGGCTGAAGGATATATGCTGTATATAATGCTCTCTTGAAGGTTAGCAATGAAGGTCTTTCATGGTCATGATTGTTTCTTGTAAACAGAGGTGCCTACCGTGAATGGGGGAAGAAGGAAGAAAACTCATTTTTTTTATTACCTATTATGCCCATCTATTATTTGGGTTTTCTACGTATGATCTTCTTTTATTAATTGGAGACATGAAGCCACGTTCACAAATCCTTTGAGGATGAAACCTTTATGTTTGTGTAAGTGGAGTTATGCTGCAGGCTAAGTTGGAGATGGCATGGCTTAGGCACAAAGATCGGGTAGGGGAAGTAGGGGCTGGCTGGGGTTTAGCGGAGGAGTCGGCCATCTGAAGTTAGCTGATTAGTCCTTCAGAGGATGAGAGGTTCCTAATCAAAAGTTAAGACTTAACCTTGTTTATCTAGAAAGAACGAAGGGAAGGGAATTTCTCAGCCAATGAGGACTGCCTATGTCAGCTCTTTATATACACACCACTTAGGACATAATAAGTGTAGACCTTTTGCTGTGTGGCTGGCATTATGTTAAATACTTTAATTAACTCATTAATTTCAACAGACCTTGGAGCTGTAAGTATTGTGTTTGTCCCCATTTTATAGATGGAAAAAACAGGAATAGAGAGGTTAATTGACTGTCCAAAGATATGCAGTTGAATTGGAACACAGGCAGCCTGATTCAGTGCCCGGCACTGCACCATGATGTTATTTTGCCCCTTGATGAGAGGAATAAAGCAGAGCATGTGTCAGACAGCTGCGCTGTGAAACTCCAGAACTCAGCTTCTCAAGAGAGTCAAAAGAGTTAATGTGCTTTCTTGGTGGAAGAAGGCTGAAGAACCTCCCAAAGACCCTTTTGGCTTTTCAGGGAATTAAATGTAACCATCTACTCATATATAGCAATGCCTCTCCTGAGTTTAGTGTGAGATTTAGGGATTTGAGATGACATCTGGAATTTATTTATGCCATTTGGATTTTGAAATTCAATATTAAATTCTTAGAAGGAAAGAAGGATAAAAAAAATCAAAGTAGACCATATTAGTGAAATCTGACTACACGGGGCATATGTTTGCAAACTGGGCTTTAATGTCTGGCTGAAATATTGCTCTGAAAACCCTGGGTCATTCCTCTCAAAAAGGAAAAGCCCATTTCTGGAGTCATTTTGATTCTCTGTATATATGGTAACAGAAGAGAAAATCTTTCAGGGTTTCTCTTCCTCCAGACAATGTGCAAAAAATGTTAGTGATTAACTTGCCTATGCTGAGATTATGGCACAAAGATAATTAGAAAAATATCACATTGACAGCTCTAATTTTTCATTCTGATCCTGGGGCGATAGCATGGGCCTCAGAGAGAGACAACCTTGGAGTAGTTTTTCCTATTTTATTAGTTGTGCTATTTTGGATAATCTTGCCAAGACAGTTTCTGAACCTATAGAACGCTTAGGGTGTTTCTAGCAGAAAGTGGAAAACAGGGGAACAAATTTGGGGAATTCTAGGTGGTTCTTGATAGCCAAAGTGGAAAGTGCTAGTGAAGACTATCAGGAGATGAAACCCAAGAGGTAAAATCATGAAAAATATCTCATGTCCCAAGCTGGGGGTTTGGACTTTACCTGAAAGTAACAAGGAACTACAAAAATTGCTTTAATTTTAAGCCTTTTAACCACTAAACAGAATTTTTTTTTAAATCACAAATATAGTAGCTTATCATAGAAAACAGTAGATGAAGAAAAGCAACATTTCAAATGGAATCAACCTTAAAGAGCTACTGTTAACTTCTTGGGAATGTTTTTATGTCTATATAATAGATGGATGTTTTAATAAATACGTAATCATTCTATCCATTTTTAATAATCTTCTATTCTATTATGATCATATGAATACCTATGTAAATCAACATAGATTTGCTTACATTGTCATTTTAATGGCTACACAGCATTTAATGGCTGTGTGGATGTGCCATATATTTTTTTAAATGTTCGATTTTTGGAAGTTTAAATTGTTTCTACCCTTTGGAGCAACAAAGAATTCTGTAATGAGCATCCTTGTAACTAAATGCAACACGTCATGATTATTTCCTTAGGATAAATTTCAAGACATGGAAAATTATGATTATTTTAAAGAGTTTCATATGTATTGTCAGATTACTCTCCAGAAAAATTGTGTGAATTAATTGTCCTACCAGCGGAATTTTATTTTAGAGCATAAGCAGGAGATGGCAGTCAATTACTGACAGATTAGAGTATGTACCAAAAAAGTGACAATAGCGAAATTGGGCAAATGAAGAAGCGCAATCAGAGAAGGGGATGTCGAGCATGAGAAGTTGCCATTTTAGAAGGGAGAACTGGTAGTGTTTTCAAATATATGAAAGACAGTCATGTGGGAGAATGGTGGCCATGTTCTGTGCAGTTTCCAAAGACAGAACAAAGATCAGTTTGTAGAAGTTTTAGAAAAAGTCTGCCTTAATAGAAGGACGATTTCATCAACTTAATGCTAAAATATGCAAGTGGCTTATGTAGTATCTTGGAAAGATGTCTCAGATTTATTCTCAGTTGGGAGCTATGTTCTCTCAAGAGAAAAATAACCCCTCAATTTTACAATAATTATTTTGTTTTCTTTTGATGTCGTGGTGTCTCGTAGGCTAGTTAACACTTACAGGTCTTAGATACAAACCTACTTGAAATAACTAGACCGGAGACCTGATAGGGTGAGTTTAAGTATAAATGCTATGTCCAACAAGTGTGTAAGTGACTTTTAGAGACAATCAGTCCTCATTTTTCACAGATTCTGTAATTGCAAATTCACAACTTGCTAAACTTAATTTCTAACGCCCAAATCGATACTCACGGTGTTTGCATGGTCATTTGTGGATCGGAACAGACGAGGCCAAAGATAACAATGATCTGCCTTCTCCTTTTTGCTCTCACACTGTAAATAAGTCTTTTTTACAGCATATTTAGTGCCATATTTCTTGCCTTTTTGTGCTTTTTGTTGGTGATTTTGCTGTTTAAAATGGCCCCCAAGCACAGACATGTTGTCTGGTGTTCCTATGTGCAAGAAAGCTGTGATGAACCTTATGGAGAAAATATGTGTGTGAGATAAATGTCATTCAGGCATGAGTTACAGTGCTGTTGACCATGAGTTCGATGCTAATGAATCAACTATATATTACATATAAAATAAGGTGTTCTTAAACATAAACATACCTAAAACAAGGTTGTATAATGATCGATTGTCAAAAATGTGACCAGAGACTCTCAGGCACATAATTTTGTGTTTCCCCTAAAAGTAGGGGTTCAATGTTTGTTAATGCAGTTCACGATGACTATATAGGTCATAATTCCTGTGAATAATGAGAATCAACTGTGTTTTAAAAAGTTGATGGGTTACTTTTACCACAGAACCCAACTCTCAAATGCCTGATCCCCCAACCCAATCCCACAGTTCTGGCTGCTCAGAAAATGGCCTTTAAGCCGGGCTTGGTGGCTCAGCCTGTAATCCCGCGCCTTTGGGAGGCTGAGGTGGGTGGATTGCCTGAGCCCACGGGTTCGAGACCCGCCTGGGCAGCGAGACCTCATCTCTACAGTAAATCAAAAAATCAGCCGGGCGTGGTAGCGCATGCCTGTAATTCCAGCTACTTGGAAGACTGAGGCGGAAGGATTGCCGGAGCCCAGCAGGTCGAGGCTGCGGTGGGCGGGAGCGGCCCCTGCACTCCAGTCTGGGCGACAGAGTGAAACTCCAGCTCAAAAAAAAGAAAGAAAGAAAGAAAGAAAATGGCCTTTGAAGTCCTTTTCTGTAGAAAGGCCATTGTTGTTATACCTGCCAGATCCTGGATGGATGGGGCTAAATGTGAGTGC